AGGTGTCACCTGCGGGATCCTGGAGGAGATGGCAGCGCACGGACAGTCACCGCTGCCGCTTGGTTGCCAGGGTGGAAAAAAAGCCTTTGAATTTCACTTGAGATGAATTGATGCGGGGTTTTAAGTGAGATCTGCAGAGAAACTTGTCTGGGAGGAAATATGTGGGTTGGTCAGGACGTTCTAATGATGTGAAATAAAAGTAAGTTAAGAGTGAGCATCTACACACAGTAGACACATTTGTGGCTGGAGAAGTAGACACGTAGACTTCGTGTAGACACGAAGCTGGAGATCCAAGTTATTTACAAGCAGTTGACAACTGTGGTTAGCCTGGTTGCACAGAATAGCACCTTAAGGGTCTAGCCACATATTTGTAAGTGTATTTTATAATTTCTATATAATCTATGTCTGCAAAATACCTATTTAGAGTATATTTTAGATGTGGATGGTACCAAGGGACTTTAGAATTTTCAAGGAGCAGGGATTTAGTCTCCTGACCGCTTGTTTTGTAACCGGGGCACTCTCAGGCATGTGCAGTTGACAGAAACATCATTGGTGCAAAATGGTAGTCTTGTCCGAAGCAGATTTGCTTTTTCCTCTTGGTTAGAGGGTCACACTCTTGCTGCTGATGTCCTTTTCACAGGAATTTTATTTGCTGCGGAGTCCTAGCTTCTCATTTGTCCTATTACTTTATTGATAAGAGCAAAAAGCCACGAGCTGCCGGGGTCCTGCCTTGTCCGTGGCTGGGCGTGCGAGCCGGCTGGCCCCTTTGGGTGCTGCTGCCAGACACCCTGAGGGAGGGCGGCCCCCAGGGCAGCGTGTGGTGAGAGCAGGAGGGCAGCCCCTGATGCGCCTTTTGTAAGGCATGGGGGTCCTTTGCCTCGAGTCTTCTCATTTCTAGGCATGAGAAGTTTGGTGAAAGGAGGCTGGTTTGTTTGCTTTTTGATTGTTTTTAATGCTATTGTTGTCTTTGACAATTCAGCTTTAATGTTTAATGCTAGTAGATATTCCAGAAGGTGGGCATGCGATCTGGGAATTTCAGGTGGTCTTTGGATCACACACATCCAAAAGACAGTGATATTTGCATTTATGCAGAAGTATTGTCTTTTCTAGTACTCCAGCTCTAATTGGATTGTTCGCTGGTGCAGATCTCAGAAAAAAAAACCTACTCAACTGTATTGTAAGGCAGGGGGCTGAAGCACACAGTTCTGCAGTAGCAGTGCTGCTCACCTGTCATCCCAGGCAAGATTAGCATCATGAACTAGCTGCTTACACCATATCCATATCCAAACTTCTGTTCCCCAGTCTAACAAACTGCAGTGCCTCAGTTCATTTCTGCAGCACCTCAGTTCATTTTAAAACTTAGTTGAAGAATCATTACTCTTACCTAATAATAAGAATAATAAATAATAATGCCGGGACAGTTTGCTGCTACAGAAGTGCTGGTGTTCTCAGACAGAAGTGCTGCTAGCGTGGATGCCACCACACAAAGCTGCATTTTGGTCATACCTTCCCCATAGGGTCAATGTGCTACCCAGACCCAAGTGCAGACCTCGTGGTGTAGATGCAGCTATACCAGGAGCTTCCTACAGCCTCGTTAAGATATTTAGGGATTGCACCTCATTGTGTCCCTGCCATCCAGCAAGGGCCTGATGCAGAGGTTGCCTTACTGAGAACCCCCCAAGCAAATTCTTCTTCTTCTTCTCTAGGGCTCCCCGATTTAAGGGGTTCCAGCAACAGGACAGCCAGGAGCTTCTGCACTATTTGCTAGATGCAATGAGGATCGAAGAAACAAAGGTAACATCTCTTCTGTGTATTTTTGAAGAACTTGCTGTATATTATAAACTAGGAGTCATTATTTCTGTGTTGGTCACATTCCTCATGTTTTGAAGTTGCGCTTATTGGAGCAAGGGTGGCTTTTCTTATTATCTTCAGAAAAAAAGATGAAGTAGAAAGAATATGATAAATACATCACCAGTAACTTTACTGAATCTGATTTTTTTTTTTTGGCTTTATTAAAAAAGAATACTTTTTTATGGATAAGATGCTGGTTTCCATTATTTAAAATCTACATTCCATAAATAGCAAGTTATACTGTATTGAAAATGTGCCTGTGCTGCTTTTTGTGTTTCTTTTTCCTTTGCTATTTCTGCGTCCTGTATTGTTGAATACTAGAGTTGTTCTTGCTTGTTTTTCCTCTTTTAACTGATCTGATCTGTTAGTTTTCATCTGCTTGTCTTTGAACCCTCTTCTCAGATGACATTTGGATAAAAGAGCCTTTTCCAAGACTGGTAAAAAGGAGGTGCTTAGATGTGGCACTGACCAGCGTCCTTCGTCTTTGTCACATTTGATAATATAAGGGATGTAATGAAGCTAAGCTGAGTTATCATGGAGATAAGATACAGAGCTGTGTATGAGCCCAACTCCTGACTGTAGAGTAGCACCAAACTGAATCTTACCCTGCCAGAATATTGAATGTTGTCCTTGGCAGCAATGTACTGAATCATGAACAGAATTGAACTATCTAAAGAACTTGCTGCATCTTGACATCGTCACCCTTGTAAAATTGCAGGTAGAACTGGGCACATAACAGAAGCTGCTGACTGCTGCTTCATTTAATAATTAAAAAAAAAAAAAAAAAAAAAAAAGGCATGTTTTTGCAACAGAGGGAAAGCTTATATTGTTTTTCATTGATTTTTTTTTCCATATAATGAAAAGGTGGAAGCTATCTTTGCTTCACAGCTGAGGGCTCACCCAAAGCTCAACTATAACAGCAGATGAGCTTCCTCTCCAGTGACTGATTGCTCTCTTTCCCCCTCCATTCAATCCCCTGCTTTATCCGTGAATGTGCTGTCGTTATAATAGCCCATGTTTTATCTTTCGGGCAGTCTTTTTAGTGAGAAGTGATAGCCGCTGTAGGTGCTATAAAAAAAGCCAATGGACTGTTCGGATAATTTTGCAGCCTGTTTTAGGCACTAGAGTGTTTCTGCAACCCGCAGCACTGGCAGCCAAAGGCGGATCCCACCCTTTCCTGCAATTACACCCCTGTTTTGCCTTAACGGTGCATTACTCCAAAGAGCGGCCATCACCCCGGGGCAGCTCAGCGAGGCACGAGGCACGTGGCGAGGGAAGCCCTGCCGTGTCTGCGCCGCGTTCTCGGCCCCGTGGACGGCCTGACAAGCGGCAAGTGTCAGACGCGGAGCGGGCGGTGCGCGGGCTGCCACCGCGGCGGCCATTACGCGGCCTGGGAGGCGCCGCAGCTGCGCCCGGTGCCGTGGGGCTGCCGCACCAGGGCCGCCACCAGATCCCGGTGGGAAGGATGGCGGCCCCACTCCTAGACGTGTTCCCTATGGAGAGCATGAAGTTTAGGGAGCAACCCTGCGCAGATCCCTGCCGCGTGTGGTCGCCGGCACCTGCGCGGGCCTGCTCTGCCGCGGGGCGGCAAAGCGGCCATTTCAGGAGGGCCTACCTGTACATACTTTTATATATATATATAAAAGTCTTCACTAAAAAACATAAAGAAATATATCAATATAAAGAAATGAAGAAATATATAATTGTAAGAAGCTAAATAACTAGTAACAATCTCGCTCCACCAGGCCTCTATGTGCGTGCTTCCACCTGACAGATCACCTTTGCGGCACCAGCATTGACCTTGTCCGTATCGCCATTAGAAAAATAAAAAGTGTGCACCCCGCCGCCACACACAACCCCCCAGTGTATTTTTAAGATAAAAGGCCGTCGATACTGCCCCCCCCCCCATTGTATTTTTAAGCTAAAAGGCCGTCGATACGGGGGTGAGCGCGACGCGCTGTCTGCGGCGCGGGCAGCGCGCGCCGGGGCCGGCTTCGCGCCAGGGCCGAGGGAGCCGAGCCCTGCTGCTCATTGATTCATGTCTGCGGCCGCTGTCGGCGCCACCCTCGCCATTCAAAGACTGGGCCTTTCTGTGACCTAAATAAATGGTCCAGCGCGCTAATCCCAACAAAAGCCTTGCTTATGGCCCTAAACCCATTTATGGTGTTCAGCGTGGTGAATTACCTATTGATCGGTGCGTTTAGGATATTGCTGGCTTTAAGATGGACAAAGCGGAGCTCGGCGCGGCGGGAGCAGGTTCACACACTCCGAGGCAGGAGTGTGGCTGCCACGGATGGCAGCTCAGCGAGACCCCAGACCCCCGGAGCAGCCTGTCCTTGCGGCGCTCAGCTTGTGCTTCGAAGGTCCACCTTGGTGCCTGCAAAAAGTCCTTGATTCCCTTTTATTCGTACACAGGTTGTGCGCCAGCTAAGGACGCTTTGTCTCGCACGTTGTTTCTAGGATGGTACCTTGCCCCCGTGGCTTCAGTACCATGTTTAACAGCAATTTTTGTTTGTGCACCTACATGGGGGAAACTTGTATCAGTGTTACTGGAGTTTGTGAGTTAGAGAGCAAGTACTTTTCCCAGGAAGAAGGAAAACGCAGCTCCCGGGCACGTGCTGCTGTGTTTTGTGTCAGCGCACGCAGTCTGTTACCAGCGGGTGCATCCGAATTGAATAACACAGGATTTTCCTTGCCACAGGTGCAATTAATTTGTAGGGTGGAAAGCCCTGCTCTGCAATGGTGTAACTACCGTGTGTGTGTGCGTGACATTGTTGTGTTGTAATTCCTTCAAAAGTATTTGTTAGGATTTTTGAGTATATGTTTTTATGGATGCATAAAAGTGTTCTCTTTCTCCTAGGGTATCCTGATGTAATGTAAAAGTGTGCAGTGCTAGAATATAAATAAAAGCAATGAAAGTTCTCTGTAAAGGTGTTCATTGAGGTCTGGTTATTCAAAGATATTCAGCTGCTTTCCATCCGTTGACCCTGGTCAGTTGGTAACAGCCTGTTTTTCTCTACATTTCTTTTCTAGCAGAGCAAGAAGTGAATCACATTTGCTCACAGGAAATCCTGTAGATCCCTGTCTTCCACATAAGCTCTCCTGTGATCTGCAACTTTTTATGGGAGGAAATTTTTGGATGGTTACCTAAGTGGCTAACTGTGACACTGTTAGCGAGTAAAATCAGTGGTTTTAAATTAATGGAATATGCTTCTCTTATGGAAATAGAGTGTGGAAAATCGAATTATATCCTATTAGGTTTTAGTCTCTTTATCTCACACTGAAGATACTTACTAAATGCTTCTGGCTTTTTTTGTAGCGTATACAAACTGGTATCCTAAAGGCATTTAATAATCCAACTACTAAAACAGCAGATGAGGAAACTAGAAGAAAAGTCAAAGGTATGTAATGCTTTATTGAATCAGTTTTAAAATTGCACAAGTTTTCAGATAGAATTTTCTTCAAAACTTGCAAAGAGCCTTACAGGATGTATATTATGTATTATTCTAGTGCCATCTAGTGCCTGTTTAAAGTATAGCAAGCTGGATATATATTGACTCAGACTTTCGGCATCCAGCTAAAATTTTCTTCTGGATCAGTAATGCATCTTGTAATGACACAGAGAGCCTTCTAAAACAGTCCGCGGCATCTTCCGAGTTGTAACGTAGCTGCACGTGTTGCATCTCTCAGAGAGGCTGCCTCAAGAAACAAAACTGAATTTTGTTAGTTCTCTGATACTGTGAAATACTGTGATACTGTAAAATATGATGCAAAGCCAAGAGATGAAGCTTTTTCATCATAAGGCCAACTATTTTTCAAAACAAGAGTCTATAATTAAATTCCAAGCTTTGCTTTTTCTTTTGTGTATATTAAGCAGTTCTAATTTGGGGATTTTTGCCTTAATTAAAATCTCAATACACTTTAAGCTGTCCAAAAGTACCCATCTCACATCTACATGACTTAGTGCATAGAGAAATCTTAGAACAAGCTTTTGTCTCATTCTTTTGAGTTTTATAGTTTTGAAAAACATTTAGAAAATGGAACAGGCCATCTGCCATTTTAGTCAGTCCTTCAAGGCAATAAGATATTATGTTTTTTAAGACTGATAACTCACAATCTTCTTGTATTTTAATTTAAATTAATTTTTAATTTGAATTTAATTTTAATGCAGAATATATTTTAAAAGCCTCTTCTTGAGAGATGCATTATTATTCTGTTTAAAGTAGATGGGAAGGGAAGGATAAAGGAATCTATATCACTGAATAATTAAAATATTATTAAATGTTAAGATAGCAATATATGATGAATACATATAATACATTGAATTGTGTTGAAAAAAGTTTTGAGTATGCTTAAATATTGTACTTTCACAATAGCTCCTAGAAATAATTTTATACTTATAGTGTGCCATTGGATCTGTTTTTTTTTCACATTTAAAAAAAGGCAATGTTTTTTCAGCATATGGAAGAGAGGGTGTGAAGATGAACTTCATAGATAGGATCTTTGTTGGTGAATTGACTAGCACTGTCATGTGTGAGGAATGTGAAAATGTAGGTATTTTGGAATTCGGTTTGATGTGGAATAGATCACATACTGGTTTGATTATGTTGTCTTGAAAGTATAAAATTGTCTTGCCGATTTTATACTTGCTTGCTTGTCTGTTTGTTTGAAAAACTTTATTGAAAACACTACTGCAAATATCTCATTTAAAGAGACTTACTGCTTCTTTAAAGCATTATCCACCACAAATCTAGGAAGAGGGGTCATGTGAATGTAAAAAGAATTAAAATATTGGGTTTAAATTTGCATCTAAATAATTTAAGGCTGGAGGTTCTAAATTCTATAATTGTCCATACTACTTCCTCCAGTTTTATTTTATGTTTTTTAAACACCTACCTGTTCTCTGGGTGTATCTATAATTTGGGAAATATTGCTTTGAATTAGTAGGAGCGGGGAAGTGCTAAAAACCACTTTTTGATATTCTTCAAGTACTTTTGGGAATTAATATCTCTAATAAACAACATATTCCTTTCGTAATTAATATCACTGCTATTTCCTCTAAGTGTTTTCCATAATTCTTATAATTTTCTTTAACTTTGGAAGAGAAAAAGCTTACTTGCATGATTATTTTTAATGAATGTTACATTTCTGTTTGGTTTAAAACATTATATTTCCTGTTATAGAGATTAAGTAAAGCAATCAGTGTGAGTAATTAAGCACAGCTCTGCGGTGCCAGGTAAACTTCCCTGTGTGTGACGTGTGCTCTAGCACCAATGAAGAACTTCAGCTATATCCCCAGGAGAGATTGTTTGTGCTACGCACATCTCATTTATTTTTATAAATATCCTCATTTATTCTTACTATTCTTACATTATTCTTACGTTATTCTTATATAGATACTCTTATATTCCACACACACGATTCTGGCCTTTGCTAGCAGTGCTGGGAGAAGATGATGATCCAGTTTCCTTTGCCTTTGGCCAGCATATTTTTTGCTAGGTCACGCAAAGCTGAGCTCTGCAAGAGCCCCTGCTTGAACACTGCTCAGCATTGGCTCATAATTGCGATAGTTTTACCCTAATTTATCATTTTGCTAAAGCCCAGGCTGTGCAGGGTGACTCGCCCAACAGCTCCACATAAGCTTCGTGCTGAGCGGGGCCGGCCGTCCACGTTGAGAATCACAGGTGGATTGTAGGATTGTATGTAGGAATATGGATTATATTCCTACCTACAAGGGAACTGCAGCAGTGACTGTAACCAGGGGCCTGACTGAGCTCTACAAGTTATGGTCACAACGTGATGTTGTTTTAAGCTTTGATTTTACAGTCTTTTCCGAGGCAAGTAAGTCAGGCTTGGAAGGGATTTCGGAACAGCAGGGGAAGAGAGTTTAAGGCTTGGAGGGGATATTGTAGCCTGGAAGGCAGATGGAAAGGGCAGTGAGCACGTGGGTCTGGGTGTGATTTACCCAGTCTGTCTAGTTTCAGCAAAGATTTTGTGTGCTTTACAGGAGACAAAATAAAAGTGCAGAATATATATGAAGTATTTTTAAAAACTGTTACATTGTGAAATTTTCTAATAAAACTTTTGGCTATAAGCCTGAGTTGATCTGGGAAGTACGAGGTCAGAACTGCAATCCTGACGTTACCAGCCAGTCTCATTGCTTAGCATTGCACCAGGTTAAACCCTGCACAGGAGTGTCCAGGATTAGGGAAGTGTGAAGGTTAGTTAGGCTTTCTACCTAACTGCACTAGACTGGAGCCCTCCTTGGTGCTGTCCAAGCCATTCTGGCTGGTCCGCAGGCCCCACGTCACTTCCAAAACCTGCCTGGAGCTGCCAAATTGTTTGGTGCAGTCCCCCCTACCTGCTGAAGTAAAAGGAAACTAGAACTACCTTAAAATGACAAACAGAAAAAAAGCATGTGGGAAGTTCTTCATTGTGATCTGATGCATCTTGTAACTAATTGGTTTGCTGTATGGTCTTTGATAATCATTTCAAAAAGGGAACTACCTACTAATCCCATACGTAGTGTTAAGTACTTAATATGTGTTTTTCTTTTTTTTTTTTCTTTCAAGATTTCAACAGTAAAAGAACCTTTCATTGATCTTTCACTTCCTATAATAGAGGAAAGGGTAAGAAACAGAACCCCTGAGCAGGGCTCCCGTGCGCCCGGACGTGTGGCGGGCGCCTGCGGCCGCGCGTGTCCCCGTGTCCCCGCTGGAAGCAGCACCTCCTGCAGCTCCGCCTGGGCTGGCAGGGTGCTGCAGGACGCTGCTAGGTGTAGTTTCAGGGCAGAAACTCCCTGGTGCCCCAGTTTTGTGTGGCTCTCGTGTCCTTCACGGATGCTGAGAGTGCTTATATGTGAAAATTGAAAGCAGTCTTGTATCGCTAGTCAGGGGCTAGTTAATTAGATTTGTCTAGGTTAATATTTTCTAAGTAAGCATTGCTCTTTTCTGTGGGTTGCAAAAGAAAAAAGAATGTGTGGAATTTCCTAAATTGTACTGTCCAATTTCTTAGGTGGCAAAACCGGTGCCTTTGGGAAGGACAAGTAAAGGCAAAAGTGTACAAGAAGCAGATCTTGGTCAGTATAACTGCTCTTCTATCACTGCACTGAATAATCAACCAAAAATTGTCAGGAAACACCCTTTAACAAAACATAAGGTAAGAGTTCAATACCCTTGCCAGCCAGGTGGGAGTTTATTGGGAAATTTATAGGGCAGGGGTGGGAATTTTGATGGCTGAGGCCACGGAGCGCGGGGTGTAGAGGGAGCCACGGGGGCCGCTGCGGTGGCGCCCCGAGTGCCCCGGAGCCCCCGCTCCAGAGCTGCCCTGTGCCCGTGGGGGCAGCCCCATGCCTGCCAGCGTCCATTGGAAAGGGAGGTCCACAATAACCACCGAGTGTCTGCACGACGGGCCAAGGCTCTCGGTTGTCATTAACGCCCTTTTCCTTAATAAGCCTTCCCATCCCTGTAGGGTTGTGCAGTCAGTTGGGCTCAGCTTTCCATAGGCATGGATGAAACGAGCTACTGAGTAAGACTGTCTAATTCATGAAGTTTGTCATTTTCAAGCACCTTGGAGTTGGCTGAGATGAATTTGGTTTTGGGGTGCTGATTTTCCTCAGCTGAGACCTTGAAAGCAGGGATAATGGTGGCCAGCTTGAACACGAGCATTTCACATGCTTAAGCTGGATTAAAGGAATACTGCTTGGACAGGGCAACCACAGCTGTCATACGGGGAACGTAAGTAGCAGTGGGAAGTATTGATCACACAGAAAGTGTAATGCTATTAGCTGACTGGTGTATAGTTCTAATCCTAAATTGGTTTAAAAAGACCTTAAAGAGATTAAGTTGCTTAAACACGTGTGAGTAGAGGATGAAATAAATAGGCCCAGTTTGCTTTGAATTTGCCGTGTTTCAAAAGTTAGGATGGACAACAGTTTTGTGCCATTTCTCCCCGACCTTAACCAACTATTAACGCCGCGCGCGCTCTGCAGAATCAGCTGAACCAGGAGAGGCGCCTCGCCAGAAGGGCTTCTTGCAGCGAAGAGGACAGAAGCCCTGTAATCATGCCGGAGCAAAGCAGGAAGCGGGAGGCGGGAGGCCCCTCTGGCATCGCGTACCCCAGGGAGCCGCCCGCGGAGCCTGCCGTCAACGGGAGCCAGACGGAGGGCAGCGAGAAGGAGGGCGGCCGCTCCGAGAGCAGCTTCGATGCCGACAGCGAGGCCTCCGAGAGCGAGAGCGGCCCCCGGGCGGCAGCGGCGGCGGCGGCAGTGGGAGCTCCCAGCCCGCCCGGCCCCGGCCCCGCTCCCAGCACGCGTGTCCAGCCCGGCGCCAGGGCTGTGAGAAGGGCCGCGGGCAGAGGTGGTGCTGGTAGCAGCACCGAGGCCCTTTCCTGTGCCATGGGCAGGCTCGGCCTGGGCGCTGCCGCCGAGAGGCCCGGCCGTGGCGAGCCGGCCTTCCCCTTGCCGAGGAGCCCCGCGATGCCAGGGGCAAAGCCGGCACTCTGCGCCAGCCCCCAGAGCGCCTTCCAGACGCTCTCGCAGAGCTACGTCACCAGCTCCAAGGAGTGTTCCGTGCAGTCCTGCCTCTACCAGTTCACCTCCGTGGAGCTGCTCATGGGCAACAACAAGCTGCTGTGTGAGAGCTGCACCGACCGCAAGCAGAGGGCTCAGAGGAGGCCCAGCGCCGCAGGTAACGCGGCCGGCGGGCACGCGCCCCCGGCACTGCCCCGGCACTGCCCGGCACTGCCGGGCACAGCCTTCCCCGGGTGCAGCACAAAAGCAAAAGCTGCTTTTGGCAGCCTAAGGCTTTATCCTGCTGGGGTAACAAATGGAAATTTTAGAAGGCTGAAGCAGGAAGGGGCCAAGCTCTTCTCAGTGGTGGCCAGTGACAGGACAAGGGGCAATGGGTACACACTGAAACACAGGCAGTTCCATCTCCGTGTGAGGAGGAACTTCTTTCCTGTGAGGGTGCCAGAGCCCTGGCACAGGCTGCCCAGGGAGGCTGTGGAGTCTCCTTCTCTGGAGTCTTCCAAACCCGCCTGGATGCCGCCCTGTGCCCCGTGCTCTGGGTGTCCCTGCTGGAGAGGGGGTTTGGACTGGATGATCTCTAGAGGTCCCTTCCAACCTCAACCATCCTGTGATTTTGTGATTCTGTGATTTATTTTACATCTTTTTTTTTTAGTTTTAAACTTTTTTTTTTATTTGTGTACAATAAAAATAACAATAAATGCAATAAAAACAGTAAATAATAGGATGACCTTGAGTTGGATGGGCTGATGGTTTGCGGTTCATGTTTCTGCTGTTTGCATAGCCCTTACAGTCTTGGTGTCTTAGATATAAATGCTGTAATACACAGCTGGAGTAACTTAGCTGCTTAGGGAAGTCCTGTGATGAAGGCACTGTAATGTGCTGGGGCAAAAATTTACTCTTGTAAAGAAGAGAAAAAGAACTGCTAAAGAATTGGAAGAGTGGAGGGGAGATAGAATTGCCTTCTTGCAACAAGAATTTATATTTCTGTAGTCCAAACAGATGATCAGTGTTCACTGAGCAACGAAAGCAGTTTAAATAAACAAAAAGACACTTATAAAATAAGCTGGGCAACTTCTCAGATGTATAATCAATGCATCCAAAAATCATTGCAACCTAGAGCTCTTCTGTGTGACTGCTCTCACCTTTACAAATTGTGATTTTGATATTCCTGAATGCAGAAAAGAAAACAGAAGGCGTTTACACAAACGCTCGGAAACAGCTGCTGATTTCTTCAGTTCCTGCTATTCTTATTCTGCACCTGAAGAGGTTCCACCAGGTAAACGGCCGCCTGGAGCATTCCTTGGCCACACTGATGGGCAAGCAGTTTATTCCTTAAGTGTCATGTGCCTAACTTTGCTTTGTATATGGAGAAATGGAAGACACCATTTATTTCTGCTCTGAAACATGCTCGTGTTCATCCTCCTGCCTTTGGAATGTGTGTCTAGCCTTGCACATATATCCATGGAAACCTCTTACGCTTCTGCTGTGTTGGAGTGTGGCATACATTAAAAACATAACAAAAAAATGTTCAAATAAGGAACAAATCCTCTTCTCGGTCATGGTTTATTTTAATAGCAGGCTTCTAATAATACTATTTACCTTAGCCTTTCTGCTGTTTTTCCTCTGAAGGCCGGGCTGAGCCTGCGGAAGGTGAACAGGCATGTGGATTTCCCGCTCGTTTTAGACTTGGCGCCGTTTTGTTCTGCTTCCTGCAAGGTACCCATTTTGGAATCTCTTATCACTGTGTTTCAGTAGCTGCTGTTGTCCTAAGCACGAGTTAAACTGGATTGATTTTATTACTATTATGCCCTTCTTTCTTTTCCCCAGCAAACTGTATATTGAATGCTTTAAAATAGTATCCTCAAATCACTGATGTGAACAGCTTGATGTTACTTAGGAGCAGTTAAGCTGTGGTTCCCTCTTTTACTGCATCCAGCAGCATTCAGGACAAGTATTGCAGCTCCCATGGAAACTGGATGCAGTTAATAGACTCTTGAGGATTTTTAATGGGTGTATTTCACCAGTGCAAATGCTAAAACTGTCTGTTTGCCTCTTTTAAAATAACACTCTCAAAAGCTAATTAAGGCAACTGACCAAAATCCATCGTGAAATAACTCATTTCCATTCGCTGTATTTCTTGGAATGCAGAATGTCGCAGACGGTGCCCGAGTGCTCTACAGTCTTTATGGAATCGTGGAGCACAGCGGGTCAATGAGAGGGGGTCACTACGCCGCGTATGTCAAAGTCAGGACACCCTCCAAGAAAATCCTGGAGCACATTTCGGCCACTAGAAACGCCCTAGGTAGGTGCGACACAACCTCCCTTCCCTGCAGGTAAGACCAGCGCGTGAGCCACTGGCTGCAGCTCCTCAGCTCTAGCTGCACTTACAGCAAGCAGGTGCTTGGGCTCAGAATATTCTCAGGTATTTGCATAGCCCCATAGATCCATTTTTTTATTATATTACACCTCGTATATAATATGCTTTTGTATTAACTCCACTTAGAGCTGGGCCAACAATGACTTCTGGTTTAGTTGGACAGAAATCTGATGGAAAGAAAACCTCTTTTTTTCTAGTCAAAGTTATTCACTCACCTGACCAGAGTTATGTCCCCTGAAATGTAGCTATTTTGGCAAATTTTGTATTCAAAAATACCTGTGCAAGAACTGGACCCACACTAATTTAATAGTTTATCTTTTTCTCGGTATCTTACCTATCCTTGACCTGTTATGTTTGGAAATGTCTTAATGCTTCCAGTTAGGGAATCCTCTAGTTTAATGTGAAGAGCAGGGCACTTCTTCATGGAAAGAGGACACACAGCTTGTCCAGGAGATTCTGCTGGGGTTTCGAGGGGAGCACAGCTGTTCCTGCTCCATGTTTTGGGTGGAAGGAAATAAGGTCCTAAGATAGAGTGTGGTGGTGATGTGAGGAGACTTAGCAGAGTTTCAGAGTAAGGTGACTATTTACTGTTGCCCCTTGGGAGGGCCAGCCAAGCACATTCTCCATCTATGCTGAGAATCATCATTCTGCACTTGAAGCTTCTCTCCCAGAACACTATTTTGCTCAAACAGAAGTCTCCCTCAGTTCTGTTTCCCTCGAACGATTATTAAAACTCCTTAAATCCTACTTAAACCTGTGTTCCTCGTTTGCCCTTAATTAGCTTCCAAAACAGAACTCCTCCCTGTCAGAAGCGCTCCTAGGTGCTGGCCTGATGTTAAAACTCAGGAAGCTGAACTTAAAATGCCGTGGACTTAGGCTCTGTCTTGGGAGCAAGACAGAAATGCGACAGAGTCTGTGTTTCCTTGCAGGTGTGAAGGAGGCCGTGGGAGCGGCGGCGGGACAGTGGGTGTACGTGAGCGACGCGCACGTCCAGGTGGTGCCGGAAGCGCGGGTGCTGAGTGCACAAGCCTACCTGCTCTTCTACGAGAGAATAGTCTAGCTCTCCTCTGGTAAAATTAAAACAAAACAAAACAAAAAAAAAGCTAGTGGTTATTTAGTCTGTCTTATTTAAATGCTGCAGTGGTAACAGTACTTGTAAATATTGTGCCTTTATCCTGTAGAGAATTTGTCATCTGTTGACTCGGGAGCTCAGTCGAGCTGTTTGAATGGTTCTGTTAAAATATGCACTTTGCCAAACGTTCAAAACTCCCGGGCTCATTAAAATACAGTATAGGTAGGGTGCGAGCTGCTGCCCTCCCCTAGAGAAATCAGTGGAAAGCTTGGTCTCGATTTTCATGAAGAGAAGCTTTTGCCCGTAGTTCTAGAACAGCAAGGAGTACAAGTCCTGATAGCGTTAAGTGCCTGGATTTCCTGGTGTACAGTGATGATATAAAGCTGTAAAGGATCTCATCCTCGCTGGGATTTAGTCCAGACCCGTCCCAGCAGGGGCTGGGCGCCTGCTGCTGAGATTCCTGCAGTGGCCAGAGTCCGTCGTTTCCAGACGCGGCTGGGGAGCGTGGAACTGCAGAGCACGGAGCTGCCGAGTGGCGCACGGAGCGGCCGCGGGCAGCAGGGCAGGGCAGGGCTCCCGCTGCAGGCCCCCAGCCCGGCCCTCAGCCCTGACACCCTCTGAGCTGCCCTCAGCTGCCTCTAGTAGAGAAATTTACTCCTGTGTCAGTATGTGTGTGTATGGACATGCACACATACGTATATCCTACTGTGGCGTGCGTGTCTGTCTCCTCTGGGATATATATTTATATCTCTTCATAGGGAGAGATACAGATATACACACAGATGACACGTATGCGCACCATAAATGTATCGGTATATATTGTCACTACAATAGAAGAGCTGCAAATACTTCTACACTTAGTAAATTTTCAAATTCATATTATGACACATGTACAGCATATAGTAAGCTTGTGTATGAATATGTATGGAGGTTTCAGGTATAACAGGGTAATTCTGTTACTTTTGGTTCTAAACATGAATTTGTTATCTGTTCCTGAATACTTTTCTCACAGGAGTAATAAACAATAAGTTATTTTTGCACGGTGTGTGTGAGTTGGACGGTGAATGGCAACACTTGGCCCCTGGCCTGTGCGGCCCTCCCGCGGGCAGCAGTGCAGGGCAGGCAGCTCGGCCCTGTTCGCTGCCTCCTGTCCATGCTGGGCTTGCCCTGATTCTTTTCCCAATTCATTCATCCCCCTCTATACAGCCCTGGGGAGGCCACATCTGGAGACTGTGTCCAGTGCTGGGCTCCCCAGTACAAGAGGGATGTGAAGCTGCTGGAGAGAGTCCAGCGCAGGGCTACGAGGATGATCAGGGGCCTGGAACATCTGCCCTATGAGCAAAGGCTGAGAGAGCTGGGCCTGTTCAGCCTGGAGAAGAGGAGGCTGAGGGGGGACCTGATCAGCGTGTATAAATACCTCAAGGGAGGCAGTGAGGAGGAGGGGGGCGGCCTCTTTTCAGTGGTGGGCAGGGATAGGACTAGAGGAAATGGCTTTAAACTGAAGCACCAAAAGTTCCACGGGAACTTACGGAAAAATTTATTAACAGTGAGGGTGACAGAGTCCTGGAACAGGCTGCCCAGAGAGGCTGTGGAGTCTCCTTCTCTGGAGGTCTTCCAAAGCTGCCTGGATGCCACCCTGTGCCACGTGCTCTGGATGACCCTGCGTGAGCAGGGGGGTTGGACTAGATGATCTCTAGAGGTCCAACCGTAAGGATTCTATGATTCTGTGATTTACAGCAACTTTGTTTCATGGTGAAAAACCTTGCTGTCCCTTTTGCCATCTCTAGCACCCAGCCACCTCACAGCTCTCTCCGATTTTCTAGTCCAGGTTCAGAGCTGTATCCCACCCATCCGCATTTGGCCCTCAGCATGAAGCTGTAGCGAAAGCTGCTCAGCTGGTTCCACGTGCCTGGGCCCTGCAGCCCGCCGGCCGCGCTGCAAGCCCCATGCTGAGCTGTACTGCCCCGCCACGCTGCTCGCCCAGCCTTGTGCGGTCCTCACGGGGTGCAAAATACAGGTGAGGGCTGAAACACGTGCAGGGAGCCCCCGCGCACGCAGGATTTCATTTTGCAAAGCAAGCAAGGCCCATTTGGGCAGGTCACATTCAGGGTTTGCAAACCCAGGCATGTTTTTCCCCTCTGCAGATTAAAATGATCAATTTACATGAAGAAGTGAAATTCAGAGCCGTCACTTCAACCATCTGTATTCGAACTAAATGAACTACACCAGAGCCTGCACTGAAAGAGAAACACTTGTCTAGTTCTGAAGGGAACATACGGATTTTCTTTTTTACCTCTTTTCATACCCTTTCCCTACTTACACAGCCCTTATGTTTGTATATTGCTGCCTAAAACATAGTTGTGGCCAAGAACCACAGGCCATGACACAATCAGCTTCCTAGGTGAGGTTTGTTTAGATCCAGTGTAAAGCAGGCACATGGCCTGGGTACCACCCTGAAGTTGCTGATTTCTGTGGTAAAACTACTGAATTCAGGTATGTATCTCCGTCTACTTTTCGACCTGTAACTCCACTCAAGAGTGCAAGATAAAGAAATAGAATAAGATTTTCTTAATCTGGAGGGGCGCGCGCGCTACTTTCATGCTATTCTCAGGTAAGTTTGATGAGGTGGTCTTCTCCTTAACCAAAGTTCATCATACTATTTAGGCCTTTTTTTTTATTTTTCCCCCATTAAAAAGTGGACATATTGGCAGGATTTTGTCATTAACACACCAGGAATATTTTCATAAAAATATAATATAAAATTATATAATACAAATATAATACTAATTTGGTTTTGGCTGTACCCTGTACACATTAATATGTGTTGAGATGGACATGAGAAGGGTATTATTGATTTTCAGTAGAAACAATTCGGTCCAATTATTTCAGTGGGTTATTTTTGCTTCCATATGTATATGCTCTGCTTAAGGGTATCACTTTGTCTGTTGTTTTAAACGTGTGCATCTCTCCCTTAGTGAATAGATGGCAGAAATAATGGGAAAGTCATTATTCAAAAAGATTAAACACCTGTTATTCCTATTAACATAGTTTTTAAAATATATCTATTTTCAGACAGAAGTCAAAACACTTCTTTTGCACAATACTGCATGAAAACCCCTGATTAATTAACATTTTATAATAAATTTACTGGAATTCATTGCAACTATTCTAAAACAGCTTGGCATACATTCTGTCTAAATAAAATTAAATTCTTTTGTCTTCATTGATAACTGTACTAAACCAGTAATTTAAGTATTATGAATATTTCTTCAATCTTTTGCAGCTTCCAATATTTTGTAATAAAGAACATGCAGGTACAGTACGGCTTTTAAAAGGAGCACAAAAAGAACTTAGTTTGAGTAAGTTTATGACTTTTTAAAGCACTTTTTAACATCCTTTTTAACATCTCTTTGCTTTGCTCGATTACATTTTCATTTTTGAGCTGCGTAACCTGGGAACCTGCAGGAGATTGGGTCAGTTTTGAACCTCGGTACCAGTGGCAGCGGTTCTCTGCTGAGCCATTTTACAAAGCCAGGTTCTGACGCTGCTACCTGCGTGGGGATAATCCCTGACGTGTTCATACGTGATCTATGGATAATCTCTATATAGCAATCTATATAATCAAACAGTTGTCACTAAGTCTCAAATACTCCAAACAATAAATCAAATGCAGTAAATTTATTCCAACCTTAATGATTCTGTGATTCACTCCCACAGGGCCTTCCGTTTTTTTTAATTCTTTTTATTTTTTAAGAGAACACACACAAAAAAGTCTGATAGTTCTGAGAAACTCATGAAAGTATCTAAAGTAGATCATAAAAAATAAAGATGACTTTTAAAATTCATTTTGTCTTTTATGTCTATAGTATACTTTGACAGAAGTATGAATGAAATAACTAAGCACGTGACAAGCTGTGCTGCCTAATTCTAAGTTGTATGTTGTACAGTTGTTATTTTTTTTTAATTAATGAGTGTTTTTTCCTGCTCACCTTGTGCGCCAGCATCACAGCACCTGCAAGGGCTCTCCAGGTCCCTATGTGTCCTTAAAAGCTTGGGCTGAATTGCTATCCCATACGGCACCAGTGGCTCCACGAGACGGAGCTGGACCCCTCCACAAGAACAGCCTCCCAGTGCCGTGGTAGATGGGGCAGGGCCCGTGCCAGGCGCCCCCATCCCGGCTGATCCCATTCCGAGAGCTGCCCCTCGCTCCGAGCTCCCACCCGGCTGGGGGACGTGGCGCATCCCAACCGCTCCCACCCTTTCTTAGCGCACACAGAGGCGAAGGCCGGACTAACCTCACCTAACAGCAACGCACAGCACGAACGGCACCAACTAATCTTAAAAACCCTGAAATGAAACAGCAGACCATGAAATAACGCACCAATCTTCTCAAAGTTTGAATTTTCCATGTATAAAAGTTAAAATTACTTTATTCTGTTAATTGATGTCAGCATTAATGTTGCTTCACCAGTGACAAAACCTCACTGAAGTTTTACACATTTTCTTCTCGAAAAGTGTAGGACGTTAATACAGGGGCAAGGAGCGAAGGGGCTAGAAGACCCTCCATGCCACAGAACACGACACCTTCCCGCCTGCAGAGGCGGCGCCCTGGCCACACAGCAGGGCTGGTAGCAGCCATCACCTTGACTCCTCTTTACAGCTGAGAACACAACGACCGCAGTATCAAAACCGAAGGCAGAGGTTTCCAAATCCTTCAACTGTTGCTATTGGTCTCGGCAGCGGCCAGAGGCGCCGCCCGGGCCGCTCCGCCCCGCCCCGCCCCGCCCCGCCGCGCCGCTAACGGCCGCCCCACACTCACTTGCCGGCCCTGCCGCCCGGAGCCGCCTCCTCGCGGCCTGGCGGGCGCCTCCACGCACAGCGCGGCCCCGCTAGACATCCGGGTCCGCCGACGGGCACGAACCGCCCGCTACCGTGACCGCTCTCCCTCCGTCCCCCCCGCCGCGGCCAGCGAGGCGCCGCGGGGAGGGCCGCCGCTGCCCTCAGCAAAGATGGCGGCTGCGCTGGCACGGGAGGGAGCGGCCGCGCGCCCTCACCAAAGATGGTGGCGGGAGGCGTTCGCGTCGCCCAGGGAAGGGTCAGCGGCGTGACGCGTTCCACTTCCGGGTGAGCGCCGCTAGGCGCCATATTGTCTTGTTCGTGAAGACGAGGAGCGAAAGGAGGGGGGAGAAAACGGCTGTGAACTGCTAGTAACGGCAGCGCCCGCGGCGGGAGGCGGGGACGAGTGTAAGTAGAGGCGCGGGCAGCGCTCGCCGGCGCTCCCGGGGGGCTGGCGGGTGCGAGACTGGCCCGGTCCTCCCCTTCGCTGCTCCTCCCCCCCAACCCCCACCGAGCCGAGCGGGGAGGCATCGGAGGGCGCCAAGCGCAGCGTCCGGAGCCGCCGCCGCCGGGCGGGAGCGCCGAGGCCTGGCCGAG